TTCATCCAATCCAATGAAATACATTGATGTCCTCCCTCTTACCTCTTAGTAGCAGATTTCGTAAACTTGTACACAATGTGATGTGTTAGTATAAATGATTGTTGCTTCTCTTCTGTACTTTGATGGGTTTTTTCCTTGTTCTTCAGTACCCTCTGGATCCACACAAATTAACACCTTCTTTAARGTCTGCTGTTATTGTCCTGTGCTGTAGTGGTGACCCTGTCATTAAAAATGAAAAAATAATATTAAAAAATGTTAAAAATAATTTTAAAAAGAAAAACTTATGAGAAATTAGTAAAATATTTTATCCATCCATTTATCGTTCAAATCCTATCCACTCCCATCCATTTGTCCTCTCTCTCGCTATCTATCCACCTATTCATTCCATTTATGCAATCCAATTTAATCATTTTCCCATTAGCCTTTTTTTTTTTACATTTATCCATCCATCTATCCATCCGTGCATCCATCCATGCATCCATCCATTCTTGCATTTATCCATTCATCCATCCATGCATCCATCCATGCATCCATCTTTGCTTCCATCCATGCATCCATGGGCTTCCTGTATGAATAATATCCTAAAAAGTGTTTTTGTTACACGAATAACTTACTTGAAAATCTAAAATTCGAACATTCATCTCTAACGATGAATGATTTCAGTTTTTTTACTATCATAAGAATGAGACAAGAACGTGTCTTAATTCGATAATATAACGAGTAGTGCTATAGTATTTTGTAGCTATATTCTCTCCAACTTGGTTGAATGTTTTTTACTTCAAACATTGGCTTGTATTCTGATTTAAATTTTATTAAAAATAAATAACTTTTTTAAAACTTATAACAAAGAGAAAAACAAAAATATAATCAAGAAGACAGCGGCGAGTAATGAAACATCTTGAAAATCTACTATTATTAGCGAATTTTGATTYTTAGATTTTTCATTAACGTCTAAGTGTTGATGAGTTTTATTGCAACTTCGTTTTAAAAATAATTTCATTTATAATTCGTCGTGTTAATAGTTCCAATTGAGCTTAAGTTGAAGGTTGTAGTCATGAATASGCAGATGGCAAATATCAAAAGATAACACATACTTGGTTTATCTATTACCTATCTATTTAATGCAAACACGAAAAATTTTATCGCTAACAAGTTCGTTTGAATGTTAACGAAAATGGATACCGAGTCYTGTTAAGGTACGTATGCGTGCTTCAATATCATTGACGTACACCTGTGTAAGAAACCTTTGTCGGTTGAAGATCTGAAATGAGCGGTCTGAGATTAAACGGAATGTTCGTATTTTCATGTTTTCTGGCTAAAAAGAAAACGAAAAATCACATTCCTAACTTCAAGTTAACGCTTGATATTCCAATCTAAAAGAAAATTACGTTGTTTGACTGCTAATATATTACATTTTGCAGCATCTCACTTCTGTTACTTGGTCTCAGATTTTAGATTTCAGATTTCCGACCGACGTTTTTTGAAATAGATGTATACAAGAAGGACCTTCAATGTATCTTATACTGTAGAGATATATTTCCTTCGCTCATGCATAAAATGGAGTAATTAACCTTATCATTATTCCGTATACGTTATCTATATTGTTTATTTTTTCACTATCCTACTATCCACTATACTATCCAAAACGCAAAATGCCATAATCACAAGGGGAAAATAATGAATTTCGCGATATTATTGTAAGAAGCTTCACTCAAGAAAATCGTCAAGATTAAACCATATTTCCAGTGGCGGATCCGGGGGNGATGTCATTTTTAGCATTGTTTTCAAACTTTGGGTTTTCTTTAATTCGCTTTTATTTCCGCTTTCACATGACATTCACTGAAGTGTTGTSGACTTCAAGAGAAGAGTCTTCTTCTGGCTTATAATACCTCTTAATACCACTTCATCTTATATTAATTCTATATTTTTATCTTCCCGTATTCCTATATTCTCGAGACTCCAATGYTGTGCCTCCTGTCATGGCTGCCATCACGAGTTGGTGCAAACCTCTATATTTTCCCTATACTCCCATTATTTCTACATTTCTATTATCTCCCATTATTTCTATGCTTCCATAATCCTATATATATTTTCATTTTCCGATATTCTCATATTTCTACTTTTCCGTATTTCAATGTCCTTTATTCCTATATTTTTCATTTGCTATATTTTCTGTATTTTCATCTTTCCGATCTTTTTATTTTCCTAATTCTATTTCACAAGCACACACACACACAAAATAATTTCTTTAATTTTGTTTGTCCCCCTTAGGTAAGAGAAGGAATGGCGTACACAATTTACATAACAAATTTAAAATGCTTGGTCAATTGCAAATAATTGAACTTGAGTTCTCTTTAAAGAACGTCTGCTAAAACAACGTGTTCTAACGCCCTCAAACGTACTCTAAAAGCATCATAATCCCCAACTAATTAAGGGGGGAAAATCATTTACTTACTTCGCGTGGGGTACCATCGATTTTTATAATGTACCGTGAGTTTTCCAAAACACTTCGCAATCGCCGGTTTTGAAGACTAGCTTTCAGGTTTTGTAGACTACGACAGCTTCACTGAAAGGAAGACATTCAGGATATAATTGACTTTATCTATATTTGCGTGGTGAAGTGTCACACATCTTGGAGGAGAGATCTTGAATTAGTCAAGACAAATTAAATGATTGTTGTTGTTAGGAGCAGATAATATATAAATATAAACATATATGTATATTCGAGGCTTACCCTCTTCAACATGCAGTATCTTTGTGGCTAAGAAGATCGTCATAATCTGAGAAAGACTTTGGATTAATAGCGAACATGGACTATTAATGGGATCTTGTGAAATAGTGTGTGTAAGTATACGCAAGTTTAGATATTGTCTGCACTGATAGAGAAAATTATTAGTTTACTGTGTTTTTTCTTCTTTTTTCTTTTCTCTTTTTTAACTATTTCTAATGTTACGTTTGAAGAAAGCCTATCTAAAATAGCACTTGAAGAGTAAAACCACCTTGGTTGATCTTAAATTAATTTATTGTCTTCCATCTGTCTTTCCGAGKCTTCTGTCGCGCACTTAAAAAATAGAATCAGATGAGAAGGGTTAAAACGCGACAGATTAAGTTTTTGGTTTTRTTGTGCCTCACTTGAGTTAACTTTACTGGTTTATATAATGTCACTTTTTTTGAATAAGTTAGTGAAAACATGACGTTTGAACAATGCATGTACTGAAGACGAGTTGAATTGGCCAGATAACAAGTTGCTAACTTAAACCGGAACATCTTCAAACAATTACTCGAGAAAGAAATGAGATGGTAGGTTTATATATGATCTCTGAATATTAYAGAATTACGACTGGTGCTATTGTCAAATCGTCAGGATTCTTTTTATTGAACGTATGTGCAATGTTCTGGGTAATAAAGCCTTCCTGGTCTTAAAATTCATTTTATCGTTCCTTTTTTTCGTTTCTTTCTTTTATTTTTTATTTTATCTACTTATTAATTAACCTTGCCCTACTTTCCTTTTTCTATTTCTATCCTAACCAACGTCATTGTCTCGTTTCCTTTACCACATGTCAATCCCCCTTGACGTGATCGTCTTCCTTAATGAAGCTTTCAACGCGCTCATGAATATTACGAGAAATATTTTATCCTGTTAGTGCAGTTTTCGTATGACTGTGAAAAGTTCACGGTACGAACACGGTCGTGACACAGCAAAGGATACGCCAGACAAATCACATTGCACGAGAATTTACTCTCCATCCAATCAAATACCCGGAACACGGCATAAACACGGCGCGGACACGGGCACGCCAAGATCACGGCACTTTTAGACCAATCATTTTGCGCGGGAAAAAAATCAGCCAATTAAAATTCTAGAAAGTATCACGGTCACGGTCACGGCACGTCACGCTTACGGCACTGAGCTTTTCACAGTCATACGAAAACTGCTCTATTAGACCATCCGTGACCACAGTCTATAAGAAATTGTTCATTAGACTGAAGAATTGYCTGTACCAAAACAACGCATTGTGATATGAAAACTCCTTGGAAATACATTAGAGAGATGATAAATAGGATATTGAATATCCGTGAATTTGAGCCTATACTAAAATAACTATTGTTTTAAATCAAAAGGAATAAAAGATGAGACTAGATGGCAGGAATACTTCAAGCTAGCTTCACATAATTATCAGAAACAATAACTAGGTTCTCAGTTAATTCCTCGCCAGATTTACCAGTTATCTCAGGACATATTGAACGTCATATTGCTTTAAGATCTGATATGAAGCCATTGAAGATGAGTCCTGTGCCAGTAAGCCCATGCTGTTCTTTTCAAACCACTCCAACGACAACCTTCCAGAATACGTCTACGCCTCCATATCCGCACCTYGGTGAGTTCAACTACCTTATATATGGTCTGGTAATGTCATTCATTCTGTTTCTGGGATTCTTTGGCAACGTGTTGACCATCATTGTGCTACGACAGAAAGAACATCGCAAGAAGATGATCGTACCGTTCATTATCAATCTCGCTGCAGCGGATGTCTTTATCGTGGTTTTTGGATACCCCATCGCTGTGTCATCTATCTTGTCCAAAGACTTTATAACATTAGAAAGAACACGGTGCAAGTGGTCAGCATTCGTAAACAGTTCCATAGGTATTGCCTCCATCATTACTTTCACAGTAATGAGTATCCTAATGTGTCACTCCGTCACCAACAAGAAAACAACACGAAGACATTTTTCGAATAAGACCTATGTGGTCATGATGCTGGCAATCTGGGGCTACGGGATTCTCACATCTTGCCCACCATTGTTAGGATGGAGTACATTTGTTCCCGGATTTGGCGGGATAAGTTGTGGTCCAAAGTGGGCGTCTAACCAGCTAGAAGATCGTGCGTATAACGCGTTTTTGGTCTTTACTGGATTTGTCCTGCCCTTRATCATAATCATCACATGTTACTCCAAAATCTTTAGGTGAGTTAAGAAACAATATTCATATATATTTTATAAGAGGCCTTGGACATACAGGGTCTTTGATCCTTGCTTTGCCGTTCACTGCAAACATAGTTTAAACTATGCTGCAAACCACCTGAAAGACAGTGGCGGCGGAAGGGGAGGGGTGTCAGAATGTTAGCGTTTGATCATCAAGCAACCTCTTTACAGCTTTATTAAATCTGCTACTATCTATTCAACAAATGCAATGCACATGACGTCGTTGCCGCCATTTTCAAGATGGTTGAGTTTGTTGGTTGAGTCTTGGTTAAGTGAAAAAACTTGTCAATGAATTCTCTTGTTATATCAACCAACATGGCCACCGTGTCTTTTATTATTTCGCTTCCTTGAAAACAAGCGAACCAGCAGTAAAAAAAAATGAATACCCTGAAAATTGATTACCCCGAGATACATGGCCATCAATCGGAAGGCAAATATGCCCATATTGATATGCCCATATCTTAACGAATGGCTTCTTTAAATGAATCGGAGAAGCGAAATAATTCATGGCTTGCACTTGTTAACTGCCTAAGGGCAAAGACTTATAWATCGAACTTATAAATTTCTAAAATTGTTCTCGGAAATTGTTGCCCCCTATCGTGAGCARCTGTGCGGGGCACGGGAAACAGGAGGCGAAGTGAATTTTGGATCTTTAATTTAGTCGAGGATATAAAGGTGAAATAAAATGAGAAGACATTGGAGTATGAAAAAATAAATTAATCTTTTTTGATTAATATAAAACTCTGGTCAAGAGTATGTGCATGAAAACTTGAAACTAATAAGAAAAGATCAAATATCGAAGGTATAGAAAATGGAAAAATTGAAGCTACACCACAACCGCACCTCCACTACACTAACACAAAGAATACCAACAACGACAGCATTACCATATTCACCACAATAACCATCAACTCCACAAACAAAAGCAACCACAAAAATACAAACAAGAACACTACCACCAACATAAACAGCACTGAGAAAAACAACACCACCATCAAAAGCACTACCACAACCAACATAAACAACACTAAGAAAAACAACTCCACCACCACCAAAAGCACCACCACCACCAACATAAACAACACTAAGAAAAACAACTCCACCACCACCAAAAGCACCACCACCACCAACATAAACAACACTAAGAAAAACAACTCCACCACCACCACCAAAATCAACAACAACAACAACAACCACAATAACAACAACAACACCAAAAACAAGAACAACACCACCATGAAACACAACAACAACGTTCAACAACAACACTGGTACCACTACAAAAACCGGCACCACCAACAACAACAATCCGCCATCAGCACACCACCTCCCACCTCAACCAACATCACCAAAAACATCAACACGACCACCACCACCACCACAACAACAACAACAACAACCCCATTACCACCACTACCACCACCAAAAACAACAAGAAATATATCACCAACGAAACCGCGTTTGAAATCAATAGCAAGCTCATGGTGGAGGTTTTCATCTATCTGTTCTCCGCTTGCGGTAAACTAATACACGAACCGACGTTTTGCCAAGGCACGAGCCACTGGTGGAAAATTTGATATTAATAATATTAAATAATATTTCATTCATTGGTTTTTCTAGGGTTCTGCGTATAAAGGATTACTCCAGTAAGTCTAACAAGCTCAGGGAAGCTTGGCAAAGATCTCAGAAGAAAATTGTCCAAATGATTGGCTTTTCTGTAGCAGCATTTATTTTCAGCTGGACACCATATTGTATAGTGAGTGTTGTGTCAGCTATCAAAGGAAAAAATGACCTGTCACCCTTAGAAGCCGAGATACCTGAGCTGATGGCTAAAGCGTCTGTTATTTACAATCCTTTTGTATATACTATGATGAATGCAAGGTTTAGACGGTCCCTTAAAATACTTGTTTTCCGAAGCTTGAAAATTGAGCAAAGGGAAGAGAACTCGATATGATTTGTATGAGTGTGTGAGGAGATGGAGTTTGGAACTAAGTATTGTTGGATAACACTGATGAAGTAGCGTCATTTTATAATCAGCACCAAAATGCTTTACGAATTTTTGTTTCTTATTCAAATCTGCATTCCCTCATGAGAATAGTAAGACATCTGTCGCTAATTAACTGAAAAGAAAGTGTGCAAGGGATTCTGGGAGTGGTAGTAAATGAAGGTATGATGCAGGTGGCCTATTTAGTAGAGGAAGATGAGTTCAATTAAATGACGTCATTAGGCAACTTAAATTGACTAATAAGCTAAAATAATTAACCTATGAATATCGTCTAATTTGTTATCCCGAGCTATAAACAGTCAGTAGCTCATTAAACCTGTGCTAATAGGTCACGTGGACATTACCCGTTCAAAGTCTAATATTAATTCTTATGATAATATTATTTCAGCGTCGAGTCAATTTTGTACATATTTACAAAAAATATCTACTATAAAAACAATGAAATGATGTAAAGTGAGTAAGTATCCCATGACAACCTTTCTTTCCGCCGCCATTTTGTCTACTGTACACGCGTAAAAGGCTTTGAATTTGAAGCACTTACCTCTTCTCACGATCCAACCGCTGCTCCAAGAACAACAGGCTCTAACTGACGTCATTATTGGTTAGTACTCTGATTGGTTGATTATTTGTTAATACTCTGATTGGTTGAGCGTATTCTCGAGGCGCATTCCTATCGATCATGAATGATCGCAAGCAACGCAATCCATGAATGGCGAAACTTATCGAGGAGGACTAGGTTTGAGAACACATAGACACAGGAAACCCAAGCTGAAGAACTTGGGCGACCTGTGTTTTTTTTAAGGAGAATTCCCATAGATTGAAGAATAGAAAAACAAATAAATATAAAATAAGCAAAAGCATAAATATATAAAAATAATTTAGACTGCAAGCATTTCTTTGAGTCACTAYTCCGCTATATTCGCTGTTAATATAGATGAGGGAGGATTTGTAATGAGTACAATACTCCATTTTACAGTTCGATTCAGTGACCATGAATAATAGTTCCTAGTGGAGGCTGGAGTTTCTGCGCATAGCAAAAATACAGTTTATCATGAGTGGTAACTACAGCCTTGGCAAGGAACAGTTATTATTTGTGGTCCCTGAATGGAACTGTAAAAAGGGGCATTAGGAGAGGGAGCTTAAGAGTAAGGCTGAAAAACACATGCGACCAACAGTGGCCAAGGGAAATAGATCGACTTATTGAACAAGAATTTTGTGTTTCATTTACATTTTTTCTTTATGAATTCAAGCTTTTAAGCCTTTTGGCTCATCTTCATATGATATATATATAAATTATAAATTTATAAATTTTTGGATTTATGAATAATAATAATAGTGTTTAAACTTGCATGAAATAATAATAATAGTATAAATGATAATAATGATGATAATGATGATAAAAAGAACTAATTCAGGCCTTTGAAAATGAATGATGGAAGACTTGAATTATAGCTAGTTGTGTGGCCAGTCATGACATAATGAAATAAGGAAGAAATGGAAGCACAAAACATAATCAATGTTACCTTTTCTTTATTCAGACGATAAGATATTCTCATATAAATTTTCACATCTCTTATGCACTTTCCATATAATTTGTTTATAAATAATACTAAATATTATCTTTGCTTTGCAACCTGTAAATGCAGATGTTTTTATAAAAAATGCTGGTAAAAAGCATAGTGATTTGCAATTACACTATAGTGTGATTTTACTTGCAAAAAACATTACTTGTTGATGTGTTGTTCCTTACTCATGCCGCYTATTGTTCCAGTCAACATGGCAGCATGCCGCATGAGGAAGGCCTATTAGACACAGTAGAAAACAACAGTAAATAAGATTGACAAGCCTTGACAAACCATTATTCAAATATTTCACTGGGTTTAATTAAAACCACTCTGTCTTTAAAACACTGTTATATAACTTACACTATTTAGTCCTAAACAGCACTGACTATACAATTATAGATATTGTGCTTTTTAGCGGACAATAAATGAAATACTGTTTCCAAGTGCAGGATCTAAAATAATGGCTGGTTTATTGTTTTAGCTTGTTTCTGGCTCAAATTTACTGGTTAAAATGACTGTAAGGCAAAGCTTTGACCAGAAAAGTTATAATTCTCGCCAGACATTGCATGATTAATGGCCATTATTTTAAGCCCTGAAGTACAATCACTCTAAATTCTGTGAACTTTGTTTTGTCAATACCTATGTAATAAATGATGATACACCAGTTTTTGAACGCTGGTATGTAACAGGCCATTCAGATAGTTGAATGAGCCATGGTTTTTCCAGGATATTTGATATTTTTCATCTCAAGATAATCACCCAGTCTCTAGTTAATTTGTTTTCAGCTASACATTTTTTACGTATCTCTTGAAAAACCATCCTTGGAACCCAGGAGTAAAATAGTCCTTTCACAGTTCTCTGTGTCATCTTGAATGGTAGCCATGCCATTGTGTAGTTCCGGAAATTATCCATACCCACCCCCCAGAGGAATTTGGAGTTTCCGAAGAGTGACGGGGTCAGAGAAAGAACAAAAATTACGGAGTTTGTATGAAAGAAAATTGGAATTTCTGGGGGTAGGGGGGGTGTCTTATTGCAAGCTCATTTTTCGTCTTGCTTCAATGCAAAGGCACAGTTACCTTTCCAGATGGTGCAGGGAACTGTGAAGGGGTCTATTCTCTTGYTGATTTCTCACTAGCAGAGCAAAAAAGAAGCAACAGAATTTTACATCCCAAGGATGTTGAAAACAAAATTTTACTACATGTAGTACTCAGAGACATAAAAGGACCATGGAGAGAAATGAAAAATGGGAGGCACAGATTGGAAACTATGGTAGACTAGGATGAAAAATTTTGCAACTTTAAAAGGGTTAAAATATGTGGGGGTTAAAATCATCTTAGCCCCTTTTCTCACAGTCCCTCTACAAATGTACACCATATCCAACAGAGACTTAACACCAAGGACTGAAACCACAAAACCACTTACAATTCGAGGACTATTCAAGRACTCAAAAATGATTTTTCAAGGAGTATGATTAGCTTACTATGCCACAGTATTTGCATGACTTTCCAAGTAGTTTCCATTATCCCTCATAAGAGGGAAGGAACTCCTGGTTTATATTGTATTTTGCAAATAGTTGTAGGCTGACAGACATGTAAACATATCAAAAACATTTGGATGACTAGATCTAAAAACACAGAAAATGAAAGTCAATCAAGAAACACCATGGCTTAAAACCATGGACAGTCAGTCACCAGTCAAGWTCAGCAGCCAAATTAGTTTTAGCTCAGTTTCTGGCTTAATGTTATTGGTCAAAATTATCAGTAAGGCAAAAAATTGAAAAGACCATATTCTGACTAGACACTGACTGATAACTGGCTGTAATTTTACGCCCTGAAATGCTACTACATATTTTCTTCAAATAACACCTTGGTCTACAACACTGTGTTTGGATAAAAGATCAGCAAGAAGAACAATATAATTCKAACTTCGACGTAATTAATTTTGGGATGGTTTTGATTTCTGAATGAACCTTTTAGATGTCAGCTAAGATTTTCTTACTCTGAGATATTTTTTTCGTGATTTTTGATATTCTACAAACTCAGTAGTTACATAATGCACTATGAAATTTGTTTATTGCTGCTGTCATTCAAAAAAAAAAAAAACAGTAAAAGCAGTAAAAAACAATTTCACAACAAGCCGTTGAAATGTCTGAGTTTGCAGAATATCGAGAGAGAAAAAAACAAGAAAGTTTTGGGTTAATTTTTGCAGTGTTGAGAAAACATATGATCCTCGGTTTCTAAGAATGTCATACTTACATTAAAGGAAATTATACTTGTAATTCAAGAACTGTTTTAATATGATAGGGACAGGTAGGTCTGAGATCTGTTCTAGGCGGTTACGACTTAATGCTTCACGTATCACTATTCGGCATGAGTCTTGTAAACTTCTAACATTTTCTGAAAATCAAAATTTGAGATATTATGTCATGATTAAGTCAAAGTTAAATGTTAGTCTTTCACATCAAACAGTTTACAGTACCACCACATTCTAACTTAATTCTTAAATGTAAAGTAAAGCATTTTTTATAATCCTATGGCCTGGGGTATAGTCATGCWCATGCAAAGCCAGACACAGTCACAGCCAGAGTGATAGATGCATGTCAGACACAGGCAGCTGTTTGTGACAGTTTGCAGTACCAAGACATTCTATTTTAATTCTTAAATAAAAAGTAAAAGATTATTTGTAATCCCATTGTCCTGGGGTATACTGATGTCTCTGCAAAGCCACCTCCTCTCACTGAGGTGACCTAGATTCGATTCCCAGACTCTGTGTCATCTGTGAGTAGAGCTCTTTGTTGGTTATCACCTGTGCTTCAAGGGTTTTTCTCTGGTTTCATTTTTTTGTCTCCCTCTGCAAAAATCAACTGCTAAATTTAAATTAGATSTATCAGTTCCCTTTTCAAGTGCATTGCAAAACCTGAAAGACTTTCTGTCCACTATGGAGTGGTGAATCCAATTAGCTTTTAGATTTTAGACAGTCACAGGTAGAGTAAAACCAACACATTCTAGATATCTTTTCAGAATTAAAATTCTTAAAATGTGTCAGAAACAGCAACARTAACTAATAGAGGTATAAATACCATCGACTGTCTCTCGTTTTCTCACTGGACTCTAATGATGACTTCAGCTCAGGTTGTTGAAATGTCAGTCACCACCAACAACAGTCTTTCTCAAGACTACACTCACATTTCACAACAAACTCCAACACCAGGTTCAAACCATTTACTCTTAGTAACTAATACAGAGTCTCCTTTGCTTCAAGGGTTTTTCTCTGGGTTCTCCGGCTTTCCTCCCTCCGTAAMAATCRACTTCTAAATTCCAATTGGAATTTAGTGGMAAGAAGATCCACTCTGTGGAATCCACTGTTAATGCCATCATTATTATCATTATCATCATTATTATYATTATCTTAATTCAAGCAGCCAGTTGTATATGTAGTCAACAATTAGTAAAAATAATGTTTCRATTCACAGGGGAAAAAAACAGATTCCCAAATTGGGAATTGTTGGGAATTTCCTTGAATTCCCAATTCGAACACCAACGTTGGGATTTATTGTTGGGAATTTCCTTCTAATACCCAATAGAAAACAAAATTCCCAACAAACTAACATTGGGAATCAGTGCCACGTTCCCATTTTCSTTCTCTCTGGGTATTGGATGGGAATTCGTTGGGAATTCAAGGAAATTCCYAACAAATTCCCAATTGGGAAATCTCTTTTTATTTTCCTGTGAATTATTATCAGCAGTAAACACGTTTGAATGCTAATTAGGTAAGCTAGATAGGGCGTAATTTCGTAACCTACCAGCATGACAGGATTAATAATATATACAATCACTTAAACCAATTATTAATGTTCTTAAGATGCAGTTTAAATACTTGGAATGTTTGAAATGTCCTTGAGATGTGATTAATTTAAATGTTCTTGCAATGTTCACTGTGCAGCTTAATACCGCTTTCTGCATTCTAAGTAATACATCTTTGTATCTTGCTCCAAAGATATGCTTCATCTCAGGCTCCATCTCTTTAGACCATCCTCCAAGAGCGTCCAAAATGAGGTTCACTTGCAAGATCGTGTATCCTGGGTGTTGTTTTGTGAGCTCAAGTCTAAGTGCTCCATACTTCTTCGTCTTCTCTTTGTCTTTCTTTTCTCGGTTGTTAACCCACGGACAGCTCATTTCCACCATGAGTACTTTCTTGTTATTGTGGTCGATGAAACGCGCGTCCACACGGTTAGATCGTACATACATGTGGTCAGCATATATATTATTATTATTATTATTATTATTACTATTATTATTATTATATATATATTTTTATTACTATTAAATATAAAGAGTTTGAATTCAGAATTAAAAGGTGTGTAACACTACTTACTTGTGACACTGGCAAGGAATTTTACACAGCCACTCTCAGTATTGTTTATGTTACACATCATTTGCGAAATTCCCAGTGGCGTTAGTCCTTCATCATTGAAAACATTAACATCAGCACCGAACTTAAACAATAACTTGGCCAAGGATTCGTTGTTCCTCATGGCTGCCAAATGTAAAGGAGTCTGTCCATCTTCGAGTCTCCTTATACTCGTCTTCGCTCCGTGTTCAACTAACATTTTAGCACAAGTTAAGTTACCTTTGATCACAGCATAACGAAGAGGGAAACCGAACTGTATGTCTATATTAGCACCAGCTTCGAGTAAAACCTTAACACAATTACATCGTTCACGAATGATCGCCAGCTGAAGTGCAGTTGTACCTTTGTCGCTTAAAGCATCTACTCGTGCTTTAGAATCCAATAAAAGAACCACAAACGATTGTCTACCATAATGAGCAGCGACATGGAGTGGAGTCCAACCATCATCGCTCCTGGCGTCCACAAGTTTTTTCTTGTCAAATCCTTCATAATTTAATAGAAGACGACAAATTCTTGTTCTTCCATGCATGGCAGCATAGTGCATAGCAGTAAAGCCTCCCACCGAATCCTTAGCCAAAGGATCACCACCTTTCTCTAGTAACACCCTCAAAGCCCTTTCTTGTCCTCTACTAGCCGCAAGATGAAGTAAAGTCCAGCCATTAACGTCTTTTTGGTTGACTGATGCTCCATCATTTATGAGTTCTCGAACCTTTTTCACATTTCCTGTAGCAACAGACTCTCGAAGACGAGCTTCGCGCTGAATCTGAGCTTTGTTCCTCACTTTGCCTTCTTCTCCTCTTAGACGTTTACGTCTGCTCATTATTAACTCAATTTTTAAAGAAAATAGAGCAAAACTAAKGAGAAAATTCTGAGATGTTTTGATCAAAAGATTTTCACTTCGACGCCATGTTAGTATCCCGGCAAGCAATGCGGGCATTGTTTATCCGCGTTGAACTGGAACCTAAATATAGTTTGATACTTCATTTATTAATATTTTAGTGTCCTTGCGCTTCAGTCTTATAGTAATTATAGAAGCAATAAAAAATAAATATATGTACCCTATTGATATACCATGGCTTTGAGTAGCACAGCATGGAATATCTCACAGGGTACTTTTAATTAGAGCGCTTAGAATAATTAGCGATTTAGCGCTATATAAATAAATTATCATTCTTATTCTTATCATCATCGTCATAATTATATGATTATCAGTATTATTATTATTATTATTATTATTTCTTTACCAAGACAATACGAGTGACAAGTGAGATATTTTGTGCCACGAGAAGGCATTGTATACTCTTTTTTATTCCACACGAGGCAATGTTTTCAATGGTGCAACCTCGAGGATATGCAACTGCTGATTGTGCCTCACGGATATAAATCATCTACCTTATCTTCGTGAGCGCARAGAAACATACCTACATAGCTCTATAAAATTTTTATCTAAAAAAATGACGATAGATCCTGATAGCATCGAAAAAAWATATATCTTGTCGTTTTTATTTTATTGGAAAATTCTATCTATATTTCGTTAAGAATTTCCCCTGGCAATTGGAAAAGAKTTTCCAGGGGTGGGGTACGGGGGGTTCCAGAGAGGAGAAACAAACCCCTCCCCCCTCCTAGGAGATTCCAGCCATGTCACTTTAAAAGTGTAAATAAAGTACCACGGTCCGACAAGGAGATATATACATTACACTGGTAACTACAGCAGGTTACACGACAGGGTAGAAAAACGACAAGCGCGCTACTTTCACGATTTTTTTATTTAACTGAGTTGAATACTCCAAATTTTTAAGCGTTTCATTTGTGACACTGCTGCTCGAAACTTGTGACGAAATTTGGTCGAATTAGAGTAAAGGCTACTTATTAGTATTGACGAAAATGTCAGTTTTTCTGCTGATCAAAATATCACTTCTCCCAAAGTACACGGCTTTATATCTCAAATGCGCATTCAATAAATTTTGATCGCATTGGATATTTTGCTATTTGGCTCCAAAAAAACGTGTTTAAAAAATGTTGAGCTTAAATACGTAAAGCTGTCCTTATGGCGAAAGGCCAAAAACCGTTTTTCTGCCCTGTCAAGTTACACTCAACTGGAATACAAAAGCACAGACCACGTGGTCTAGACTATCTTAAAAGCTGGTATACAAAACGACTAATAAAGCCATCTAAGATGCGTCTTATTGTCTCTGCGACGGGTGGCGAACAGAATCGCAAAATATTACCCGACTGAGGCTTACTAGTCAGTGAAGTGAAAAGAAAGTCATGACAAATTGCATGAAAAACAGTAAAATAATAATTAAATAATTCATACGTTCCCCGTTGTTGATTTTGCACATGCGTTCCACCATGAAAAAGAACCTTAATAATTACGTGAAGGATCCGAGAAAGGCTCTCGAAACTTTTGATTCCAAATGATTTAGTCCTATTTATTTCTCTCAGTTATGGAACACTTTAGATTTATTATTAACCTCGCGGCTCTCTTTTGGTTGTGTTTTCACGCCATGGCAAAGCTAGAAGACAGGAGATATAGCATGTCCTGTGAAAATGGGGTTTGTTGGAGGCCGGACGATGAAGGACCATGTGAGGTAGACAACGACAAACCAAAGCTATTTCGCTGGGAACCAATAAAGGTGAGAAACTTTGGTATTTTAGGAACAAAAAGAAAGTTGAACCTATTAATAGAAAGTGATTTTCACTGTGTACTTTTTCGACACGGGTAACAGTTTTAACTACATTATATAATATTCATGTTTTAAATTTGAAAAATTAAGACGAAAATTCAAACGATGTTAAAATCATTAACGAAAATTAAAGATAATTAAAGATATCGATGATATTTTAAACTTTGAAATGACAAACCGTTATAAATTGAAAAAAAAAAAAAAAATTGTAAAACTACAAGCCAATTAGGGCTCTTGATTATTAAAGCAACAAAAAGGCAAACGAGTTTTTTTTATCATTAGGATTAGTTTCAAACTTTTCTCACTCGTTAACTGTTTCGTTACTATGAAGACCTTGGTTATATTGGTTATATATTTCAATAAATAGGTCATTCCGACATAGAAATGGTTTCGTTTAATACAAAGAACATAGAACCAGTATCAACACTAAGTTCCATGTTCTTGACGAGAATAAGAAGCAGAAACACAAGTCATTCCAGCTATTCTTGGATCTTGGAATGACATATATCCTATCGCTTTTCGCCTATTCGCCTTTGGCGATGACGTTTTTTGAAATAGGCATATGTTGCTTCTATTTTTAACGCCTTTTTACGAACAGATAGTACTGTACCAGTGTCTTACTGGTAAACTAAGTGAATGAACTATAAAARAAGTGAAGAAATCAATTGATCTTGTCAGCAATTACAATGTACAATCAATAASAATCAAGGCAAATATATTTTAAAATGAAATACTTCCAAAAAATTCGTTTACATTGAAACATTTGCAAGTGAGAAAAAAGTTGAACTGTTCGACGTAATTTACATTTTTCTGTTAGACGAGATTACCTGACAACGTAAAATCTTTTATTGTTTTTTTCCCTTTTCCCCCTTTCTTTTAAATAATAGAATAAGAGAGTCATCAAAGAAAAAATAAGTTATTGTCCATCTATTGAAGCTATTATTATAATAATAATTATTGATTGTTATTATTATTATCTATTWTTGCTATTGAAGCCCAGCGATCTTTACTGATCACCCTTTCTGATTTTTATCTACAGAAAGGCTACACTAGAGAACTGGAGCTAGAACCAGGAAAGAAGTACAAGATGACCACAATGGCAAACAAACCACCAATATTTGGTAAGCGATTCAGGGGCGAATCCAGAATTTTGACATGAGGCTTAAAATGCGAGGTTCAATACAAGACCCCGCCCTTTTGATTARCCTTTGGGTATGGGAAAAAGAACATCCTTAATCTTATGAGTGTACGACACTAGACGTTATTCGTATGYTGATTTTCCTAATTCAGACGACGTGTCATTCTCTAGAATAAGATTAAGATTCTTTGACTAGTATCCATATTAATGTCTTCTCATGTACAACCATTAMACAAAGAAATGCTACTCTAGGGAATGAAACGTGGTCTGAAATTGRAAGCACATGACTGGCACAAGCACAGGCTTTTCTTATTGGTCGAGAACGGAAGCCATTTGAGCGTGATAGCACGTGTCTCACAAGCCTTCTTTTATACGAAAGTTACCCAAAATGTCGTTACTGTTGTATTGCAGAAATTCGTAATTTTCTAAGTCCAGAGGAATGCGAACAGATCAAAAACCTTGCTACAGGCAAGGGTCTACACACAAGTATAGTGCACTTTGATGARCACTTACTTGAAAAGAGGAAAAACATCGAAGGTATGATGCATATGTAACTAGAGTGATTTGCCTTGCACCGTAAAGGGCAGGAACAACTTATCAACCGCCTTCTTCCTCAAAGGAATTTTTCCTGTCATCCAATATGGCTGTGGTCATGCGAACACATCAACCTTCTAAATAAAAGATGGTATCTTCTCTACCTCAACAGGTCATGCAGAAGGAGCTGCATCAAGCTTTGGTAGCTGGGACAAAAATCAAGATCTTTCTATTACAAAAGACGAGGTAAATATTCCCTTGAGTGTTATCCCTTTCTTTTCCATTAGTTATGTTTAAGATATCATCATGATATATCTTGGATACGTTATAAAATAACTGTTATATTGAAGTAATAGAAAATGCGCCCGTGCTGTCTGCAGTTATAAAGCACGCGGGGGTTGACAGAACACGAGAGAAGTGTTAGGAGAAGCACGACGCGTAGCAGAGTAAACCAATCAGAATGCGAGTTTTATGACAGCTATTTTATAAATGTCGTTTTCTGAATGATCTGTTTGCTATTCAAAATACTGTATTTCACAAATAGCTTCCCTTGCTGTGTGCAATTTCTTAATTCATACRCTTCCTATGAATTATAAATCTCTGTATCTAGCAGAAGACGTGAAGAAATCGGGGATCGGCAGCACACTCGAGAAGTGTTGAGAAGCACACCCTACACATCTTGAGTGCTTTGCTAATCCTAGAGTGCTTCAAAACTACACCCACCACACGTGCATGCTTATYATTTCTTCACTAATGAAAGTAAATAATTGTGAAAGTACAAAAAATTCTTAGTCTCACGACATTGAAATGGGAAAAGATTATGTGCAGAGTAGTCACAAATACCCGCTATATTCCTCTGTTTTATCAATAACGCTAATTTTGATTTGGCATTTCTGTTCTTAGTTCATGCACTTCGCTGTRAATTATAAATATGCGTATCTAACAGAAGAAGACGTGGATAATATGTAAGTGGTCTCTGTGGCTTTCATAGTCATTTTATTCGTCAGTTAAGAGAACTACTTTTACATATGGAGGCTTTGCATTATCACGTGATGGCAGCCATGTCAGGAGGAACAAAAACGGAGCCTTTTTATCCTGGGAAAACTGTATTGTTTCTCATATAAGTTAGATTATACCAGATTCAATTGTCCCTGCCTCCTGTCAYGGCTGCCATCACGTAATAGTGCAAAGCCTCTATCCCAGCAATACRAATGCATTACAGCGCAGCAATATTCCGTGCAGATTTCTCCATAAGTGTTGTCCGGACACACGGCGCAACTGTTTTCGTAACGTTGCAGAGTCAAAGTCTGCAATATTTCGCGCAAAAATGATGATAATATTCGCGCACACCAAATGCAAGGTTTCTGGTTATACATCAGAAAGACAGACAGACTTTAACCAATGCCGCAATTTGGGAAAAAACTGACCAACCTCTTGGCCAATCAGTGAAATGATCGATGATCAACCCCCACTTTTAAAAAACCAAAGTTATTTATTTCAGTGAATTTCCTTGGTAGATTTAAAAGGTTAACTCATTCGTAAAGAGGTCTATTGCGAGACATTTTCAGTCAATGAAATAGAATTACAATGAAATACCCATATCCAGACTTGGGTAGATGTGGACAGTTTTTTTTGCAGCGTTGCTGSGTGTGGCATTCCCGGAAACTCTCAATGCCTCCAGTTGCAGCACATTAGCGCCCGTATCTCTTTGATCGTCTCAGAAAAGGAGATTTTCTTGCATACAATATTAAATTATGCATGTAATTTTTTTACTTCAAGGATCAACAAACTAAAACTAAAGGAAATGGATGATGGTGAGTTTGTTTGCGCAAGAAATTAGTAACCTTACTAAACCTTAATGGATCTTTGATTTATATCTTTTTCTTTTATAGGAAAGGTGACCCTTCAAGAATTTTCCACCTTCCCTACCGCCTCAATCGACTCATACATTAATGTACTAAAACAATATCACCCACGACATAAAGAGAGGTACAGCAACCAAGCTTGGTTGCCTCACGGAAGATCCGCTGATCCAGTGATCAGACGGCTCAGAGAAAGGTAAGACAAGACTATGTCCTTCATGGTCTCTTGAAGAATACCATCGATTATCAACTACGATTATTAACACAACATACAGAGCAGTCTGTCAAAGAAATGTTTCTCAGCTTGACGTATTTTGGCTTGGAGGAATTTCAACTTCCTACTGTTAATATGAGTAGAGGCCTAGGGGCGAATACGTTCTCGCAAAGGCACTTCGGACTACTGCACTGTTCGATAAGTTAMAAATAGGAGGAATCAATAAAAATATGACACAGAACTTAGAAAACCAACGACCTGTCTAGTAATATCTATGATATATTCTCTGATTGTCTTAAAGAATCAAAGTGCTGACAAGACTACCCGAGGAAATAATTCGCGGCAGTGAACCTCTTCAAGTAAGTATTACGCACTGGTAAATATYATGTTCTCTTCTTGAAGGCATCAGAAGGGGATTTGAACATCTATACGCCTTACCTCTCATTTTGCACAGACTGTACTGATTTATAAACTTATGAACATTGTAGTTTTCGAGTATACTGTTATTATAGCTTACTGGGCTACCTTTGGTTTAAGTGTCCGCAAGTGGCCAGCGTTTAATTGTGTTTGTTGCTGGTCGAGATGTTTGTAAAGTAGGAGGCTTTTCCGAATGGCCTTCAYTCTCCATTGAACTGCTTCACAGTCTATTACACAGACTTAACAATATTTTTCCATACAAGTATACGAGTAGCATATAAATACTTTATTTCCGTGTCAATATCTTGGCAAAATATCAATCCTAGTGTAAAACTGCGAAAATAGCTTTTTAAGAACTCTTGTTTACAACTCTAAAACTACATCTCTCCAAACCCAAAAACGTGAGACCAACGTTCTGAATCGCTGACCGGCTCATGCATCCTATAACCAATCTAAACCAGTATGAACTGGATGACGGAGATATTCTTAGTTGGCGACTCTGTCATGTTCCTATCCTAATGAGCCATTAAACTATATCATAACTGCGCAGAAAAATACRAATCAATCTCATTTGATGCACGTTTTGCACCCAAAAGAATAAAGGAAATTTTGGGAAAAAGTGACCAAAAATAGCGCAAATTGAGTTGCTACAGATCCCTTGCAGCAAGAGGGAATAAAGCTCAATTTGGAGGATATAACAATAGGTTTCCAATTTCAGGATATTGAAATTCTTTTGTTTTTCCTCCAAATTGATCTGCTTTGACTTCACATACAATGGGTCAGGCTCCTGCAGACAGCTTCAGACTGCGCAACAGGGCATTAATGTTATTTTCTTATGCTACCAAGGTGGTTCGATACGATGAAAATGGTCACTATAACGGACACTACGATAGTCAATCAATCACGGCACATCCACGTGATTACAAATGCTGTCACACAACTGTCGCCAGTACACCACACTGCAGACTCTGCAGGTAAGAACATGTTGATAAGTAAAACTGAGTGCGTCCATCTTTTAATCATTTGCTTTTACCACGAGAGGTCTTCTTTTCTTGGGGATGAGGTGGAGTTGAAAATTGTTTCTTAATCAGATTTTTAAAAAAATACTGCTTCGGAAGATATATATGTCTCTTTTAAAATACAGCTGATTCTCTAATATTTCCCATACCCATAGCACTTTGCGGCTTTGGARGTAACCAGAGGAAAAAAACACTTATTTTGCGAAAAGTTGACGAGAAACTGTTGAAAATACYTCGTTTGATATCCAAATATAAAATGAAGAAGTAAAAAACACAAAAAGATAGAAGCTTGAAGAAGTTTAAAGTAAATTTTAAACACTTTTTTGCCTGTCAATAGATATTTTGCCTCTTGATGTTCTGTATGCGCAAAATTAACTCGGAACAAACAGATAATCAGTATTGTACAGTTAGCAGCAGGTATAGCATATATTCAATTAAAGAACGTTTAAATTTGGGACAGTTTTTTGATTCGTTACCCCCATGGAGCAAAGCATTATGGGCTATGGGAAAGTAGAGATATACAGAATTCTTTCTGGGTGACAGCAAATGKTGGTCAGTGCTTGACCACCATTTAGACCAGATAATGAGATTCAAAGACTTTTATTASCTGATTGATTGAAACCCAGCAATAGACTTGGTGCATTGTTAACTCATTTCAGACCACGTGTCACTGATTCCCTAGAGTATAATTTCTTTGTTTAACGTTTTCGAATGAGAAGACACATGAATGTGATACAACTCCAACAAAAAATCTTATTCTGCCATCATAAAAATGTACATCCTCTAATACCGTCTCCTAGGTATGCCACGGTGCTGTACTATCTAAACGATGTTGAAGAAGGCGGTGAGACGGCTTTCCCGGCAGCAGACAATGAAACATACAGAGAAGAGGTAACGTTCTACATCTTTAAGGSGCAGATGAACCGGTCGACTGATTGCGCGGAATGCTGCACATACAACAACGACATTAGCCTTTTTCCATCGCTGTAAAATTATGAAGATCTACTACGAATGTTTAAAACTCCAAACGCGCAACATTCTTTTCCGTTATATATTACTCCACAATGACACTCAACACAGTCTTAGATTGTCATTCGCTTGATTTGGTTTAAATACACGTTTGTTGGAACTTCATCTTCTTAACTTCCAGTGACTAAGACGTTAGGACGAAATGTWTATTACATACCATGGTGCAAAAGTTTTCTTAACAATTTCTTTCTCGGTTTTAGGACTTAGTAAAGAACGTGACTGGAGATGTATTCAATTTACTGCAAAACTGTCATAAAGCCCGTCTTGTGGTTCCACCGGAGAAAGGAAAGGCTATCCTGTGGTACAACCACTTTGTGGATGAAGACACCGGATTCATGGGAGAGAGAGATGACTATACGATCCATGGAGGATGTGGAGTGACGAAAGGATATAAATGGGTTGCTAATAACTGGATCACTGCGCCTGACTTGGAAAATATCGATTATAAGAGTAGTTTTGATGATGATGCGACAACTACCTAAATAATCCRACGGGGAATGATACTGTCGACAAAACGTGCAGTATGCGCATGCGCAAGACAAATTGACTWGAGTTACACGCACAAAGCGACAGAGTAGAATTTGCATGTGGAAATCCAAGGCACACGGAAAGATACGGAGCTAGTGCTGACGACATTCTCTGAACCAATCAAAGAGTAGGATTTCAATGCTCATTCAATGAACATACTTATACACTCGATGACATGGTGTTTACCACTTCTACCGCGGTTGCATGCTATCACGGCACGGCATGCTCGCGCTGTGAGTCACGGTAATCAAGTCAAGGTCACGGCTGTGACGTCACGTCATGCGCACGCACACTGTACGGTTTATTCTTGATACACCAGCTTGATACACCTAGATAATTCTATATAACTTTTTATATTTTAGAGTGGTTTTCACARCCCGTGAAATACACACCAGCCTAATACAAATTAGTAGACCCTAATTCCATTGTGTTCTTTTGTTCTTATTTCACTATTACATACTAATTTATGATATCTGGCTCACGGGTTTATGAAAATCACTCTATCTGTTAGGCAGTACTATGCTACAAATTAAATTAGTGATAAAACCCGTTAACAAAAGATAGACATGCAAACTTGATGATCAATTTTTAACGGGGTTAATCAAGACAGTTATTTATAAGGAAAGAAATTAATACTGATTGAGATTCGCTTATGATGAGACAATCAAGTTTAAACTTCAAATAATCGTAGTCATATCGTAATTAATTTTTAAAAGCAATTCCATGTCATGATAGATTAATGTAATTACTATAACATATTTTCTAAAAAACTATACAGCTTAAATGAAAGATTTAAATAAATGTAAATTGAACATGCATGTGGATCACCGAATTGTTTCCAGTATATAAAGCTATGCTAATAATAATTGATGGGATCCCTTTATCTGAGCGAGCCTGATACGATATACTCGCCTGATACGATATACTCGCATAAAAAGTTTAGGGTTTCCGGTTTGATTGCAAGGCATGCTGGGACGGTTCATTCAGATAAGACGGTGGTGCCTCTCTCTCTCTCTCTCTCTCTCTCTCCATCCATTTTTACTGCGGTTTTCGATATTCTGCGAACTCAGAGTCAAGAATATAAAAGGTACCGACTGATTGTTTTTGATTGACGGCAGCAAAAAATCTAGCTTCTTCGTGCAGCTCGCAACTACTGAGTACGCAGAATATGGAAAGCCGCAGTAATGTTTTTTTTCCTTTTCATCGTTGGTTGTTAACTTCACAACACATTTTTGTCATGTATAAACTACCTCACGAGGATTTTTTTTAATGATGGGTATTTTTGGCGTCGTTTTTCTAACCTGCCGTCTTCTTGTTTCGTCTGCTGGTGCTTAATGTCAATGGAAAAAACGTGCAGAGAATCACGGACTAAAATAGAATAAATAATGAAATAAAAATGCCTAAAATATGTGAAAAATTGTCAAAATGAATCTAAGTAAGTCACCATTGAAGATCGCTGAATTTTAAGATTTTTCTTTGCAATTTTTTCTCTAGAGGACCTGTCTTCTTTTTCAAAAAAGTATGAATATTTATTAGAAAAATTCAATAAAGCCACTTGTTCAATCTCTACCTGGTTGATATTCTCCATCACAAAGAAGCCTTAGACTAATTTCATCATTAATACGATCAGTTCTCATTATTTATTGATACTGTTCTGATAAGGTCCTTTGTTTTATTTTGTTTAGTTCAGTTTACCCAGAAGAGAGCACGTGGGATTCATCTGTAATCAGTCAGTCTATCTTTTGATCGAATCTTAACCCCAGAAAAACTCGAACTCTAAACTAAGAACAAATCTAAAGTGGAGTAAAGAGAATGGTTGGGAAACTAGTCGCTTTAGTTTTTCTTTTTCTAGTGATTCAAACATGTTGTTCCAATAAGTATAGCAAAGAAGCGAACCAACAGAAAACAGACGATCCTGGACCGTGTCTTGATGATGGCAAACCTAAGTTATATCGCTGGGATCCTGTGGAGGTATTTAGAATATTCTTTACTTAATACTGTTTTAAAACCYTTCGCTATTGAATAGCACTTGCTGTAATCAAAATCTTAATTAATCTGTTGCAAATAAGCATTTTGAATTCGAATTGAATATAATACTTTTTAACTCTGAAAAAAACGAAAGGGATTTTTTTCATTTTACAATACTTATTTTTTCCTGCTACTAAACGACACTTTCTTTCCTTTTTTGAAGTAATTTGTCTAAATGATGTCTAAAGTATTTTTCAGTAAACTGCTGATGGCATTGAATAAACGCCCTACTGACGAAATGTTTTGAAATTTAGCACATCTTCATCAATTTATATATATTTCAACCATCCACTTTAAAAATGGCAATCATTTAAATTCCACGGCTTTTTCAAAAATTAGAAAAAAAAGTTTAGTGAAATTTTTAGGCCTGGAATTCAAATTAATTGACCGGATGTACCTGTCTCATAAAGCTAGCGAGCACGTTATGTGAAAATGACCATTGAAAACTTTCTAGGTTTCTAGTTTCTCAAATTTTTTTCCTAATGAAAACATAGTTTAACTAAACACGTTTAGGTGTTAATGGGGTATTAGTCTTTCTTTTATATCTCTGTCTGACTTTTTTATCTTATTGCCTCAATTTGCTTAGGAGGGTAGGGGTGGGGGGTTAGCAAGTCTTTGTAAACTCTATAGCAATGGAATTGAAAAAAGGCGAGAATAAAATTGTTACTAGCAACACTGATATAGGAAATAATTGTGAGAATATGTGGACCGCGTAGCACTTATGAAATACATGAAAATRTAGAAATTCGGAAAAAATGGTGTCGAATTTGAGTTTGAGAATTTTTGGTTGCTCAGATACTATGCTAATTACTTCTTTGCCATTAAACTGTTTCGAAGTCTTATTAGTTATTTTCCTATCGATCGCATTATTATATTGAAAATATTTCGCTGGCTGACCAATCAATTGTACCCATTTTGCTGAATCTCAGAACAGATTTGTTTTATTGTAAACGGTATAGTTAAACAATAGTTAAGTAAAAGGATAGGGTTAGGGGTTTGTTTAGGTGAGGGTGAGGGATAGCTGGATTGGAGTGGCCTGTCTTTTTATCTTAATACTAAGTTACGATTGTTTTCACAGGTTGGTCATGTACGTAAAATAAAGTTAGAAGGCAACAAGAAGTATAGAATAATAACAAGGGCYAAGTTTCCACCAATCTTTGGTGAGTAAAAAAAGGGGAGAAACCATTACTGGGACAGAACCATTTCTCCAGTTAAAAGGGGAGGAGGGTTCCTCTCTTCTAGTGTGCCACCACCGATTTAAGCACGAAATAAGCCGGCTCTCCTTCAGGTCTAGTTGATATTAGTCATTCCGAGGTTGGGTAAAAGACTTGGTGGATTTGGCATTGCAGTGCATTTTGGGATTGGTTTAGGGCRAGGGAGACGCCGTCATGGAAATATGTTCTCTAAAACAGTCGCACAGTGTACTGCAATGTCGACTCCACCCAGTCTTTTCTTTAACCACTTAACGGCTCACACCAATAACCTTACTAATCCATCAAAATTAAATTGTAAATTTTTTTGCCGGTTAATAACAGTCCAGTTATTATGTCCTGTAAAGGGCTTATTAAAGCTTTCGGAAATGCGACTGAGAGTTTTCCTCAATCTCGAGCTGTCTGTTTCACTAAGACATGAAAAACGCTCTAATGTGATTTGATGGAATATTGAAAGAAAAATATAATGATAACAGCTTTACAGCTAACTTTCTTTCTCCTGCAACATCACTGTCAGCTTCTAAGTTGCACTCACCTTTATTGTTTCTTGATTCTTTTCTCAGAAATCCCCAACTTCCTGACGGCAGAAGAATGYGATCACATCATCGAGTTGGCCAAAAAAGCAGGCATGCACACAAGTGATTTACACATGGAYCCTATCACACAAGACCATATGAACCGAATCAGATCTACTGAAGGTATCTCAAAAAATTAACTCTTGTTATTACAGTCCAGGGCCCGATTGTACAAAGGGTGGATAGCGCCMTCCGACGGATAAACCTTATCCAGTTGATTAATTTATTGCATACTAGAATCGACTTATCCACTGGATGAGGATTTATCCGTTRGATAGCACTTTCCACCTTTCGTACAATTGGGCCTCGAACCTTACGTAAAACTTAAAGTAAGGATTTACTTAGCGTRCCGTGCCGTGATTGCATGACGGTGCCGACAATATCCATTTTGATTGTATAGGTAACATCAAGCTACCTAATTGGTTAGCTAGGCAGCAATGTTATGCACTTTAATTCACTCGTACACATTCTCACACTAAGTGGTTAAAATACAATGGTAAAGAGGTCATGTTGGCTCATGTAAAGCGATTTTCGTATTGGATAATATAATACTAGCAGACAACGGAACGGCCAAGTAGTAAAGTGGGTGGCTGTGAAAGAGCCTAGTCGGCTTTTAATGCTTCAACGAGCATTTTTTACATGATCACGCACTACATCGTTTTTTAAGTCGAAAAGTACTATTTAAACTGGCAATTTTRACGCACAACTTCAGCGGCGTTCCAATTTTATTTCATTTTTCTTCATCACGCCACAAAGTTTCTAGTGTAAATGTCATAAAGAAAAACCTTTTATTAAAAATATAATTTGCTACAACTAATCTTTATGCATGGGCTAATTTCAACAACCAGGTCATTCCAACAGTACAGCAGGATATTTTCTTAACTGGGATGCTAATAGAGACTACGAAATCACTAGAGACGAGGTAACATATGTTACACGTAAACATTTGTTGCAACACTTGCATGCAATATTTCATCACTGCATTCAACTTTGCGCAATGTTTCATCAAGGGCTCCTAGAGGCGCGATTACACAGAGAAATTTTCTCTGCAAATTGTCTCGCAAGTTGCATGGAACATTGCAGCATGTAACGCATTGTAGCGCAATTTGAAAAAATGTTGCGAAACAAGTTGCAGCATTAATTGTTTGTGTCTCCTATGCACAGTGTAAACACTCATGCAATTTGTCGTTGCGAGACAAGTTGCAGAGATAATTGCTCCGTGTTATCGCGTTTTTAGTTAAGCGACACTCTACTGGCATAACATACACATATGCACAAAGCATATCATCACTGCATGCAATGTTGTGCACAACTTCGATCACGTGCACCTAAATAATCGACACCATGAAACACAATAGCAGACGTTATTGTTCTCACTTGTAGTATTGTTCTCGCACTTGTAGTAAAAGGTCACTCGAATTAGTTTTCTGCGATACTTGTGCACAGCATTTCATCACTGTATGTGCAGCATTTCATTTGGCTGAACAAACGATGACGTTCGGAAACAATGGACTACTTCGACGATGCGTCGGCCATCTTGAATTGCAAGGCATTATGGGGCGTCCAGGGGGCAAATAGACAAAGCTTTGTTACAGTGATGACGCTGATTGACATTAAAGTGAAGTCATTAAAACCGCGAAATAGATCTTAGACTAATGCACATTAGCAGACCCTGATTCGATTGTTTTCTTTTGTGTCTATTGATCCCTTGCACTGAGTCCCTAGAGGAATTGATCTTGGGGACAAAACAATAGGTTTTTTTGCATAAGAAAAGACGGCCTTTTGTTTTCTCCTCCAGAARCAATTCCTCTAGGAAATCAATGCGAGGGGTCTATTTGACTATTGTACGTTGAGTAGTATTTTTTATTACACGGGYTAAATGCCTTCACTTTGACASTTCACAAGAGATGAATTAAAAAAACAATGGAAAGTTCCACATGTAAGTAAATATATCAAAGATCGTGGGGTCATCATTTCAGCATCTTCGCTTTGTTTTGCTTCCGGGGCTACCCATAATGCCTTGCGATTAGTCCATTGTAGATGTTGCTAGTAACCCATTATCACTTATAGTATAACTACATGCTCTTAATAATCTATAGATCAAGATATTTGCTGAGAGAGTTAAGTATCTTATTCTTGAAGATCAAGACATTGACGAGATGTAAGTGTCCAGTTATGCAATCAAAAAATCATTAAAACCATTTGAAATCTCATTAAACATTTGCAAAAGAACATCAATTTTATAGAAGCCTGAAATTGAATTTAGGATAGAGCAGTTTTCGTAAGATCGATCCCGTAAGCGTGCCGTGACCGTGATGTTGCCTAGAATTTTAGTTGGYTGATTCTTTCAGTGCCGTGACCGTGTTTACACGTGTTTATGCCGTGTTCCGGATATCTGATTGGATGGAGAGTAAATTCTGGCTTGCTGTGTCATTACCGTGAAGGTGTCACGAGCTTTTCAGAGTCATACGAAAACTGCTCTAAACTAAATCAGGGCACGGCTAAATCACGGATTAAATTGACCGTAGTGAAAAKATTAACAATAATTTATTTTTATACAAGTGCATATAATAAATCCGGCGCGCTCATTGGTCACAATTTACGTCTTATGCTGTTATATATTCACCTACAGGTGAATATAGCGTGCGGAATATAGGGTGCACGCGCACGCTTTTTTATGGATTTGTGCCCCTTGCAGAGATAAATAACATTTTTWAAAAATCTCTCTCAGTTATTTATTAAAATCACTTTTGTTAAAAATACCAAAAAAAGACTCGCGTSTAGGTAAATATTCCCCGATATTYACTTCGCCTTCGGCGAAAAATTGTTAAATAATAGAACCTCAAAAAATTTAATATGAATAAATTTTTGCGAATACTAATACTATTTYGATTTTCTTAGGATTCAAAATCTTGATCTCAAAGAGCTGGAAGATGGTGAGTTAAGATAAATACTGAAATTAAAAGTAACAGAATACAGCGCTGTGAGCACTCTGATTGGATAAAAATATTTAGATTCCATTTACATTACATGCATCAGGTTGCTTACTTTGCTGTGATTAGTCAACAGCCATTGCGCAGTTGATATATTGCATTTGATGTGATAAGCACTAGGATTATGATGCAACAGAATCCTCTTAGCTTGCTCTTATTGGTCAAAATCCTTATCATTTCCCATTTGCTATATTAGACAGTTGTAGTATCAGAATGCGCACTTTCATTGGCTGAAAAACTTTAGATTTCATCTATAATATGCTTAGATGGCTCTGATTGGTCAAAAGCAGCACTATTAGGAAGTTGAAATATTAATCAGATGTAAAAGTATCGTACAGTTGCTCTGGTCGCCTAAAACTGTTTCACAATTCACTGCAATTCCAGGATCTCCGGTTTCCTCCCTCCGTAAAAAGCAACATGTGAGTTGAGTGTTGTAAGTTGTAAATATACAATGTAGTGGTATTGCGTGTGAAGGGCAGCAAATGGATGAGCCCCGTATGGGGAGTGGTGGTCGTAAAATATAAGTTTATAAGTTTAAGTTCAATTCCAACTCGACCATGTGTTTTCCTTAACCTTAGTACAGCTAATGAGGAACAGACCATCATGTAAAATATACACACAAGGATGAGGACGTATTTTTTATGTTTTTTGATATATTTATGTGGTTTTCAGGTATCATTACTTACCCAGAATGGCAGACGCTACGAACAAACGCCATCGACATGTACTTCAATGACCTCAAAGATCACCATCCTCATCACCGCGACCGATACAGCAAACAAGTATGGCTCTTCCAAGGAAAGAAATCTAGCAAAATAATGAAAACGTTGAGGAAAAGGTACATACTATAGACCCCTTGCATGCGACGTCAAAGCAGCTCAATTTGGAGGACAAAACGAAAGAATTTCAATCTCGTGAGRATTGTAAACCTATTGCTATGTCCTCCAAATTGAACTGCATTCAGACGTGCTGCAAGGGGTCTATAAGGGTCTATAGAGCGATTTGGTTCGCAAGCACGAAACAAGGACAACGCTTGCAAAAGCCATGTGCAAAGTAAATATATTATTTCCATTTCATTGCGCATTCTTATTTCCAGAGCTTGCATTCCTTTGGTTTCTGCCAACAAAATAAGGCTTAGGGAAGAATCCAAATGAATCCCCCTTTTTTTCTAGTAACGGCATCATTATTTTGGTGGTTTTTATTGCCTTAGTATCAAATCAGAAAACAGTGGCAGTTAGGTTTTCCCTATCGTTTCTATTTCATGGCGGAGAYCAAAACGAGCGCAGCTGCTGAGAATGAGAACGACATGTGTGGTGAGCGCAAGGGCAAAGTATTAATGTTTGATTTGCTTTAGGCTTTGGAAATTAACAAAGCTTCCTAAARACATCATTTATGGTGGAGAACCCTTGCAGGTAAGTGAATGGTACCAACAAAATTTTGCCCCCTCTCCCCACCCCCACCCCCGCTACCGCGACCAATCCCACACCCACGTCGAAGGTCAGGGATATGCTCTTCTTTTTTGACTTTCTAAAACGTCATTGCCACTGTGTTGCATCCTAAATTGCCTTACTTTTGAGATATAGACCCCTTGCACTGAGTCCCTTGAGGGATTGTTCTGGRGGACAAAACTGGATTTTTTTGCATAACAAAAGACACTCTATTGTTTTGTCCCCCAGAACAATTCCACTAGGAATTCAATGCAAGGGGTCTATATGGCAGGTGGTACCGTGACATAAAACATTTACGGAAAAGCTAATAATCTATTTTCGTTACCAACATTATCCTTTTAAAACTCCTGTAGGTGGTAGGATACGACARGCGAGGTCATTATAATGCTCATTATGATGGCACAAGAAGATCCGACTTTCCTAAAGACAAGTGCTGTCATTTTGATCTTCTTGGTGTTCCATACTGCAGACTTTGCAGGTAACGTTATTGAAAAAAATAAATAACTTGCGCGCGTGCCGAATGCAGTTTTATTATATACTTAGGATAGTACGCGCGCGCTGATTGGTCGAAAACTGTGCTTTACTAGTGAACGGAGCACAGTGCTGACGCCATCCGTGAGCGCGAAGTGCTGCTAGATCTTGCGACCGTCTTTCTTTTTGCGTAAATAAATTCAATACCGGAAAAAAAGTAACTATATATTAAAACGAATTAAACAGCTYTTTCCTTACTCCATTCAGTAATAAGGCACTTAGGAAGCGCTGTAAGCACTCAAGAGGTGTGAGAAGAACTCTACTACGGCTCGTGCTTCTCCTTACACTTCTTTCGTGCTTATGTCACATCCTGCGTACTTTATTACTGAACAGGGCACGGAAAAAAGCTGTTCGTGGGGATTGGCAGAACACGAGAAACGTTTAGAAACACAACGCGTAGCGGAGATAGAAATTGCGCGTGTGCGTGTGCGTGTTCTCATAAAGTACGCGCTCCCAACCAATAAGTGTTCTTACTACACATTGGCTCATTTAATTGCACGTCAGAAGCCTTGGTGGTAAATATCCGTAATGCTGTTCCCCCTCCCTAATTCAATGTTGATTGATACAGCTTAGTCTAATATTTTTTAAAGAGGCAAAAGCACCACGAACCATCAAATGAAGTACGCCCAGTCTTTTACTACGTTTTCCTTCTATTAACAACATGTACTACTCCTGGTCTATCATTAACATTTTGTCATTTATCAATGCCTAGATACATAACTGTCCTGTATTATCTCAATGACGTCGAGGAAGGAGGAGAAACAGCTTTCCCGGTGGCTGACATAGAGAACTTCAACGAAACTGTATGTCTATATTTACTATTCTCTTATTTTTTGTTCCATGTTTTCATTTTCCCCCGGCATATTTTCAKTTGTAGTTTGCCGGAAACTATGTTCGTTTCAAATCCACAGTAACATCAGGTAGTCATTGGTTAGTTCTGACTTATTATTTATGATTTTCACTGAAATTCTCTTTGGTAATAGACTCCTTTTCTCATTCAATGTGTACCGCTGTTTTGATCACAATCGATTCAGTTGTACAGGTTTGCCTTTTGTGCAAGTGAATAATTTGGTCATACTGCTAAACCTACACAAAATGAATCTYTAGTCAAGGATTACAGCGGCATTAGTATTGCAGTGGGAAAAAACGATCGAGTATGATGAAAATCTTATTTCGCATTTGCAGGAATTCAGAGATCGCAAACAAGGAAATCTCTACAATCTATACAAATACTGCCATTCAGCAAACCTCGTGGTTCCTCCCAAAAAAGGTAAAGCCATAATGTGGTACAATTTCTTACAAGACGAGAAAACTGGATGGATGGGACCACGTGACGACAGATCTTTACACGGCGGATGTGACGTCAAAAAGGGAGAAAAATTCGTGGCCAATAATTGGCTGCCAGCACCGGAAGCTGATTCATTTCATTTGAGAAGTGATTATCTTGATGATGAAGAATTAGACGAAGCATAAGATTCACGTATTAGTCTTATAACTATTCCGTTCCCTTTTGTCATGTTCTCATGAAGAAAGGTTAAATTCAAACTCACAAYAACAGTCTTCTAACTCAATCCACACATACCGCTTGCACATTTCTTACAATTTATTCATTTGCAACGTGGCTTAACCTGTTTAGTCAGTGGTCAAAGTTTACAGTAGTATTTATGGATAGATAAAAGGTCGAGTTGACATTGCGCAGTGCATTTTAGGGCTGTCTTAGGGGACATATTTCCATATGGCGTCCATTTCGTTCCCTAAACAGCTCCAAAATGCACTGCGCAATGTCAACTCAACCCAGTCTTTCTCAACCTCRGAATAGTTAATATCAATAGCCTTGGTTTTTATCATTAGCATACTTACTCTTATTACTTTTATCATTTTTCTTGCTGGTGTTGACATACCCTTCTTGTAAAGACGGTGCAAGACCCTGTCGACACAAAATACAAATAAATAAAATACGTGACACAATATGATAAGGAGACAATTAAAATTTACGTACTATAATCTATGATCCACTATAGATAATGGACTAAAATRATATGCACTTGAACTAATACACTTCCTTGTACAATCACAATGAGACAAAAGCATCAAACTAGCAAAACAAAACAAATAAGCTGATATTTTGAATTCGGCATTATTATGTTTCGTATTATTGAAAACCAAATTTGGTTTACAAACAATTGATATAAAAATAACAAATTAATTTAATGAAACTTAAACATGACGTTGAAAGTGCAAACTGTAAACMTATGAAAAAGTACTGTAAAATCAAATACACTAGATCCTTTACGAAGCTGTCACCTATTAAAGTGCACACGCACTATTGGGAACCATTTGAACAAATTTCTTATTGCCAAACTTGATGTTAACACTAAGTTTTCTCTCAGATATCCAGGTTCGTTTCTTGTTCCTAAATAGCCAAAGTTTTTTTTTCATCTCGTGATTGGTTAACTTTCTTCAAGTGGTTCCAGTAAGTGTGTGCGCACAGTAAGCGACCAATCGGCTATTTGCCAAAGTCCCAAAATGGGATTTTGCAGTCGTTTCTAGAAAGTATCTAGCACTTGTTAGTGCTTAAACGTAGGTTTATTGTTACAATTTACGTTAAATAAACTATTTATAAATTTTTATCAATATAATAAAATTAAAAGAATCAAAGTRGTACAAGTTCTTATAATTTATAGCTGACAAGCTCACCTCAAAAATTTACACATCCACAAAATCCGTACAGGGTACATACGGTACATCTCAATGCTCATGTTCCAGCTGCTGCTGATAGAAGTGTTGTCATTACCCCCAGTTTTGGAAGGGAAGTTAATGATAATGTTGTAGCTGCTGGCGATGGAAGTGTTCTCATTGCTGAAAGTTCTGGATGGGAAGTTAATGCTAATGTTGCAGCTTCTGGTGATGACAGTGTTCTTATTGCTGACATATTTTGATGGGAAGTTGATGTCATGTTGTTTATTTAGTACCGTTCTTACAAGTGTCATATTAATAATAATAATAATGGAACTTATATAGCGCACATATCAAAATTCATGGCGCTTCACAATAAGAAATAAAATAAATAACAGACGTATGTTACAATATTAATGAAATGTCATACTTCATTGATGTTCACTTTGAACCAGAGGAGACAAAGTTCTTGAACAAATGAGTTTTCAGTTCATTCTTAAATAATTGGATTGAAGAACTTTTCCTAATTTGAAGTGGGAGGTMATTCCAYAGTTTAGGGCCAGCAACGTAAAAAGATCTGTCACCATAGGTCACCAGACGAGATCTTTGTTCTTCTAGATACTCCATGGTTGTAGATCTGAGAGTGCGCAAATTTTTCCTCGATTTTATAGCATCAGCCAGGTATGGGGGAGCCATATCATGCAAGCACTTGTACACAATGAGCAATATCTTGAATATAATTCGGAAACGGACAGGAAGCCAGTGCAATTCTATCAAAACTGGAGTGACATGATCAAATTTACTCGCTTGAACTACTAATCTAGCTGCACAGTTCTGAATATACTGAAGCCTTTTCAAAAGATATTTCGGTAGACCATAGTAGAGTGAGTTACAATAGTCCAACTTGGAGGTAATAAATGCATAAATCACACTCTCTGTAGAAGAATCAGTAAGAAACTTTCTAATTCTAGCAATGTTCCGGATGAAATAGAATGAGGACTTACAGACTTGCTTGATTTGTTCATGGCTACACAGGAACTTATCAAATTTAAAACCAAGGTTTGTGGCAGTTGAGGAAACATCAATCACATCATCACCAATTTGAATGATCGGAGGGTCAATGTAGGCTTTAAATTTAGAGTGAATTAGCATAATTTCAGTTTTATCCCGATTCAACTTCAGATCATTTGCTTGCATCCACCTCTGAATATCTGCAACACACTTCTCAATKCATTCCTTTGCGTCCAAAAGCTGTCGATGCGACTTATGACTGAAGGCAATGTAAAGTTAAAAATCATCCGCATAGAAATGATAACTCAGCCCATAGCTCCTGATGATGTCAGCTACCGGGAACGTATACAAAACATACAGAAGCGGACCAGGCACTGATCCTTGAGGCACTCCAACATTTAGATCCCAAACAGAAGAGACAGCGTTATTGATTGCGACAAACTGTTTCCTATTTGTCAGATATGAATTGAACCACTTCAATACCATTCCTTTTATTCCAAAATTCTCAGACAGTCTTGACAGTAAGATCTTATGATTTACTGTATCAAACGCGGCCGACATATCCAAGAACACCAAGACCACTGCTTTGGTATCTAAAGATAACTTGTCATAAAATTTGATTTGATAAATACGAATATGTAGCAGCCTATTTCCGGTTAAGCATAGAATGACGTTTCAGTGTTCTTTCCAGGCCGTGCCACTGCGGGAATCGCCGCATAAAAAAACAGGAATGGCGCATAAATTTCAACTCTATACGCCCCCCAAGGRCGCATGAATTATTCATAGAATACTTCCTGATAGTTTTAAAAGATTTAGAGTACTTTTGAAATAATAAAAGTCGCATTATAATTGTGACGTTATTCTATATTAACATGTCACGCTAGTATCACATTGTAACTCAAGACCTTATAGATAACTTGATTRCTTAGGTGTACTCAGTTGTACTTAGTACGAGTAAACGTGATTCTCAATCGTATACGTCTTTCATTCCTTCTGTCTCCCTCGATACTCTCTCRCTACACAGCAAGGATACATGGTGTCAGAAGTGGGATAGCGTGAACAAAAACAAGATATTTGCTACGATGCTCTTGAAAGATCAAAAGGTCAAGTTTCAACTAGATTATGGAGCGACAGTAAATATTACTCCTGTGGACATCTACACTAATGTATGTAATGACTTCACGCTCCCCCTTTTAAAGAAAACAGATACCAAATTACGAATGTTTAAAAAAAAGATCGAAAAAATTGAGATCGAAACACGCAATCCTAAGAATCACRATAGCCACACGCTACGCTATTTAGTAGTCACGCAAGGTCATAGGCGCTTGAAGCTCAGGCTATTCAGCATTTTGATCTCATAAYAATTAACAATGAGAACATCTTATCGGTCGCAGCGGAAGCGTCCGCGCAAAATGATTTACTTAGGCCCGGGTCGCACTTGGACCAATTTCAGAACAAATYTGTTTAGTTTAGTGAAAAACTGTCAAAACACTGTCATCACTGTACCGATACAAGTGCRACCGATTTGTTTTGAACCGTTCTGAATTTGTGTTTTGCAACAGAACTTCAAAGACGCCGATGTACTCCCGAGAAGTTTTCTCGTTCAACTAATAAAACGGCGATAAAAACGCCAGTCATTATTTCCGGTGCYGATGCGCTGAAAGAGAACTGTATGTTCTTCTCGAAAACACAGGATCAACACTAGCCAACGCAGCTGAATCAACATGAATCCCTATTTCTACAATTGGGATGGTCCAGCGGACCAGTTCGAGCAATATCAACCGGGCACCCTATTCAGGCGTCGTCTCGACGATCATTCGTCATTAACTATGATGCCATCAAATATTCCTCACATGGGATATGTAGCGACAACTCCAAGCATAACAAGGACGCCATCTCCCTACAATTTACAATCAGGCRAATCCAGTTCGGCCTCAGGACTCAGTAAGTCTAGTACGGATACGTCCAGCACAAAAACGCAAAGGTGGACCGAAAAAGAAGAAAGCTGCCTCGTACAGCTCTGGAGTGATAACTTCACTCGCCTAGAATCTAGGCATGCCAAAGTTGTATGGAAGGAGACATCAAAAGTAGTAGGCAAGTCCGTTCCCCAGTGCAAAAGAAAGATGCAGTATCTAAAAGATAAATACAAAGAGGCGAARGATCATAATAGAAAACAGATTGGCGGTGAAAGAAAATACTCTCCATTCTATAACGAAATAGATGCGRTACTCGGTTGCCGTGACGTGGTCACACTACAGTCACAGTACAGCAYGTGGCGGAGTCAAGTCCATTTGCCGAGACAAAAGGAGACTCCAAAAAAGAATCCGCAATACGCAATACTCCTATAGCGTTAAAGGGTATTCCAGAACCAGTGGAAGTTCCTACCGACTAGGTTTCCTCCATGGTAGTGGCAACTAAACGGAATGGCCAGATACGACTATGCATCGACCCTAAGCCACTGAAAAAGGCACTAATGAGTAACCATTATCCCTTACCAGTTATTGACGACCTACTACGTAAGTTGACAAATGCTCGACTATTCACAGTAGTGGACGCAAAGAATGGTTTCTGCCATGTRCAGCTAGACGAGGAAAGCAGCTACCTAAATACTTTTGGCACACCCTGGGGAAGGCACAGGTGGACTCGCATGCCTTTTGGAATTTCCGTAGCTCCCGACGAATTCCATAGACGACATGACAACGCCMATTGCAGGTCTAGATGGAGCCCATCGATCTTTGACGACATCCTACTGTATGGTGTCGGTGAAACTGATGCTGAAGCTCAGCATGATCACGACACAAAGTTCTGTGTACTCTTCCAGAGATGCCGTGAGAAGGCTGTTTAACTCAACAAAGACAAACTGAAGCTTTGTTGTACTGAAGTAACATTCATGGGTCACACCGTGACCAGGGATGGTCTAAAGCCAGACCCAGCAAGCTGGAAGGCATCCAAGATATGCCGTCTCCGCAAACCAAGCAAGACGTGAAGCGTTTCYTCGGCATGGTGAACTGCCTCCATCGTTTTGCACCTAACCTTTCAGATGCCACAGCCCCTCTGAGAGACCTGCTGAAGGAAACGAACCCGTTCTGTTGGGACACACCCAAAGAACAAAAATTCGAGAAAGTAGAGAACATATTTTCAGAAGCTGTCACGGAATAACTTAAGTAGATCTTAGGGGATTTAGTTCATTATTGTTATCAGGTGTTAAATCAGAGAGGAATTAAGTCGAGAAGAAGACTGTACTAAACAAGAACGACAACCGCTTGGGAATGAGAGACTTTACAGAAGC